TAACTGTGGTTCTCAACTCTGCATGTCCATTTGAATCACCAGACCAAATAAATCAGAATCTCTAGGGTGGGACCCAGGCATCAGTACATCTGAAGGCTTCCCAAGTGGTTCCAATGTGCAGATAAGGTTGAGAATAACTGACTAGTGTTGATAGAGTGGAAGGGTAGCTCTGTGATATGAACCTGTAGTGGATTAATTACTTTTGTGTGTGGCCTTTCTACCCATGGTCTTGTAATTCCCAGGTGATTGGGCGGGGCTGTGTGATAGGGTAATTCTGGTCTACCAAGGGGATTGGTTAGTTTTGCCTTAAAAGAGAGCCAACTCCAGAGCAAAGAGGAGAATCCCACCACCTTCAAGGAAGAACAGCCAGGAGCTAGCGCATCCTTTGGACCCGGGATCCCTGTGCTGAGAAGCTCCTGGAAGCAGGAGACAAAGAGAGTGAGCTGTAACCCTGAAGATGCTGAGAAGTGGTGGCAGCAGAGATCTGGCAACAGGAGATGGCACAGTGGGCTTCCCGGCCCACAGAGAGGGAAGGCTGAGTGTCTTTGGGGAGAGGCCATGGGCCAGGGAAAGGGGTGCCTGTAAGCACATTTGGGAAGAGGCTGTCCTGATAAAAGACTTGTATCCTGAATGTTCTTGAGCCTGAACTGTAACTGTAATTTCCCTTATAATAAACCCCATGAAAGTGAGGATACTCTGTGAGTTCTGTGTGGCCATTGCAATGAATTATCAAACCCAGCAGAGAAGTAGAGAGTGCCGTGGGAGGGACGATTGGTGTCAGAATTGGTAAAGATGGCAGAGAGAGGTGGCATGTCTGAACCCTGTCTCATAGGAATCAGCTTTGGGGCATTGATCTCGGTTCTCCTTCCCCTTGTGAAGTTAGAGGAGGTCAGACACTGCCCCCAAACCGTTCTTATGGAGCTTGTCTTCTGATTTGTAACCCAATCCTCCACACTCGAGGATGCCCGTCTGATTCCGTTTCATTCTCACCTTGCATCCTAGCACAGTACCTAGCACATTGTGGAGGAAGACTCCTGCCTCAGTTTCTGATATCCTTGTCTCCTTCTGGGGTGGCCAAGTCTGTAAAATGGCGGTTTGTTCTTCAGGGCAATGGGTTCAATATGTATACTCTCTAGATAGCAGACAGACGAGCCATTCTATTATAGAACATTTCATGTAATCAGAGACCCACGTCTGTGCTGGGCCCAAGGAGTGGATGTGATCTTGGCCTTGAGAAGCTTCAGAAGACCAGGATGCCTGCAGGAGCTGGGAAAGTGCTACGTTCAACAGGGATTGTATGAGCATGTGTGTGCCTGTGTCTGTGCATGCCTGTCTAAGTGTGTGTGTGCATACTTAGGAAGTGAAAGGGGAGAGAATGGGTGGTGTCATCTCCTTCAGAGGGCCAGAGATAGATTAGGCTGGCAGGATTGCCTTCTAGGTTTGAGAATCAGATATTTGAGGGGAGCTTCCCTCCAAGGCCACCCAGAAAACAGCTTTATGCATCTGTCAAGCTGTTCTACTTCATAAGTCACCTCGCAATGACCCCTTAGTGATGACTGTACAAGGCAGAAAGAAAACCCTTGGCTGTCAGGGGCTGAGAGGAATTTCTAAGGCTCATGGGGATTAAAAACCTCTCTGTCGTGACATGAAGGGGAACGATGCCTTCTGTCGGTTTGTATTCAAGTGTTTCTTTCTGAGCACCAACTTCACTGATTTGATGGGAGAATAAATTAATTCCAGAGCCCCGACTTGAAATTTCCTGATTCTGCCTGTCTATTGTCTATCCACCCACATGAAGGAGAAACTTCACGATCCTTGTCAGTTTTCAAGTGAGCAGTTTGCAATTACACATTCTTCTAGGGAGGCTTTTAAAAGAGCTCTGAGGTTTTTCAATCATGCTTTTCTTCCTTAGATATTTGCCATTTTAATATGGAATTGCCTTCTTTGTATGAAAAAAAAAATTGCTCCCCTGGCCTGTAGAAACTTGATTTTCTTAACCAGTTGGAGCTGATAACTTTGATAGTCCCCACTTACACTTTACAAAAGAATCATTTATGACAACTCTTCACGTAACTCCTAAGGTGTCATATCTTATTTTTATATTGAATCTGCATTTTGGAGGGTATCTTAGGCTGGGTTCTCTAGAGAAGCAAAACCAGTAAAGTGTATAAATATATAGAGAGAGGGAGATTATATCAATGAAACAGCTCATGCAATTGTAGAGGCTAGAACGTCCCAAGTCCGTGGATCAGAGTAGAGGCCTCTCCCAAGTCACGCAGCTGCAGAAGCTGGCAAGCCCAAGATCAGAAGGTCAGAGAGCAGGGCTCCCTCTTACAGGCTCTGCAGATCGACGAATCCCAGGTTTGGCAGATAAGCTGACAGCTCAAGTCCCAAGAATGGGAGATGAGACGACAGGAAGCAGCTGCAGGATCCAGAGAGAGCAAAAAGCAGAACGTCTGCTTATATATAGATGCGGGCCACACCCCCGAGGAGACTCCCTTTCATCTGATTGGCTACTCACAGTATATTCAATCATGGGAGTGATTACATTAAAACACGGGGAATCGTGGCCCAGCCAAGTTGACACACAATCTTAACCATCACAGGGGGAATACAAAAAACTTCCCAATCTTTGATTCACTTTATAAAAGGACAATAGCTTTAAAAGACGTATAGTCACTGTGATAATATTATCTGCATTTTGCAGGCGAAGCAATCGGGAGACGGAGAAGTTAAGTGACTTGTTCCACATCATCCAGGACATGAGCCATAGGACCAGGCGAGGGGCTGGGCATTGATATCTTAATTTCTGGACAGGCTATCAACCTTCTTTTTAGAATTCATTCTTAGACTGCCTTTTCTCCTGCAGAGTCAGATTTATATATATGTATGATGTATGTATTAAGTGCTTTTACCCACTTTATCTCTTTTACAAGTATTTAAAGTTTAAAAGAGTTATTAAGAATCTGAAAGACCTCCCCTCCCCTCCTTCTTGCCTCTTAATATGTGCACAGTATTACACTACATGGAGTCCCTGGGTGGTGCAAATGGTTGACACGCTTGCTGCTAACCAAAAAGTTGGAGGTTCAAGTCCACCCAGAGGTGCCTCAGAAGAAAAGTTTGGCGATCTGCTCCTGAAAAACCATCCACTGAAAACACTATGGAGCACAGTTCTGCTCTGACACACGAGGGGTCGCCATGAGTTGGAATCAACTCAATAGTAACTGGTTATTACGCTAGATTATTCATGTGTGTGTGTGATAGAAAGATGAGAGACAAAGGCTGTATTGATGTCTTGAGGAAGCTTAGAGAAGCTTTCGCTATAGTGGAGATGCAATTTGTCAGTCTTTCTCTCCTTGTAGAAATCTTCATATGATATAAATCTCTCTAGGAATCCTCCCTATGTTTGGGCCCCCAGGAGGCAGAGCTGAAATTTAAGTCATCTTTACAGCCAATACCTCAAGCTTAAGTATGAGAAGAATCATTTCAACCAGGTAATTTAAAAGGAATCTTGTCTTCAGCTAGAGATTTATGGGAGGGGAAGTGTCAGCAAGGGCCTGAGCTTTTAAAGCTCTAGCTTTACTGCACCTGGTCATTCATTCCCCAAATGTCTTCACACCCGTTCTGGGAGGTGACTGAGCAGAATCCAGAGCACTCCAGCGGGAAGGAGACTGATGGGCCTTTTCCCATTACCTGTCTCATTTGTTTCTCTCTATACCCTGGTCACTAGGATGTGTCATTTCCTATGGTGTGCGGGGTAACAGGTTTTCAAAACTGTTATCACCAATTCTGAAACCAGAGAGAACAGAAGTTATGCTATTGCATAAAACTTCTCAGAAACCTGCAAAATAGAGTCACTTTGTTTTCCTGGTTTAAAAGATCAGTCAGTGAGTTGCTGCTTATTATTAACTAGCTTGGTTTAACAATCATACCAGGGAGTCAACTGAGATTTACAAATATTTACATTTACATTGATTCTATCTCCGAAAGTCTTCTTGAACACACACCTGAACTCCTTTACCTCAATCTGGAAATACTGAGTAAAGACAGAATGAATTCAGTGTAATGTAATTTATGTAAATCACTTCTTACAGGGAATTCCTTGGTGGGAAAGGTCAATATTTACTATCAAATAAAAATAAATACAACAGCGATCTGATCTTAAAATCATGTTTTCTCTACACACACTTGCACAGGCACACACTCCCCCCACCACCCCATGTGCACACAGGCAGACATGCACCCCTGTACTAAAGTTACCAGTAGTGTTTGAGGTCATTAAACTGAAATATAGTATTAAGAGCTCAAGGTGTGGAGTGAGCTAGATCTAGGTCAAATCCTGCCTCTGGCTGTGTGACAGTTTTCTTCTGTTAAGCAATACCTACAGTAGAAGGGTTAATGTGAGGATTAGATGCAATAATGTCTTATAAACCAGGACTTCTCAAACTCTAAAGTGCATACAAAAGATGTACATGTCACTTTGGTAATAACATCTGCATTTTGCAGGGGAGGCAACCAGCAAACAGAAAAGCTCAGCAACTTGTTTCAGATCATCCACTACATCCACAGAGCCACGATGAAGGCTCTGGGTATCTTGCTAACAGAGCAGATTCCAATTCAGTAGGTCTGGGGTGAGACTTGAGATTCTAAATGCCTAGGTGATGCTATGCTGATAGTCCATGGACCAAACTTTGAGTAATAAGGCACGTATTAAAAATTTAAACTGAAAACCAAAATTGCCATACAGTGGTCCTACAAGCCAATTAAGAGAAGAAATCTGAGAAACAGTTTTGTCTGGTGACCAAGGTGAGCATGGCACAAACTCAGCTTCTCTAGGTGTGGAGTGCATGAAACATTTGGGGAAGGTTGTGTCCTATTCTTTCATGAGCCTCTGCATGAGGAGTTGCTAGACCAATTTCCACTGACCTCCTGAGAATCAGCCAGGGACCATCTGAACCCACATGAGAGATGATAAGTTGAAATGCCCCAGACACTCTTACCTGTCATAGTCTTGGCAAATCTCCCCCACAGCCACCAAGGCCTTCAGGTACTCGTTGGGTTGATAAGGGTGGATATAGTGCAGGGAACAGCTGTTTCTGGGGTCCCCGTTTGAGGCAGTGAAATCGATAGCTACCTGGAAGAGGAAAAGAGGAGAAGGGGTGGGTGTCAAGTGGGTGCATCTCCTAGGAATTGTGATTAGCCACAAGAGAGACATGGCCACAGATGGAAAAAAAGCAGCACATTACATACCCAGGCCAAAAGGAAAGTTAGAGAAGAAATTAATTAGCTAAGAAAACTAGTTAGCAATTTGGTTACAACCATCTTTGTGGTCTCCTTCCTCCCCGCTGCCTCCTCCCTGCCATGCTTTCTCTTCTCCTTCCCCAAAACAGAACTTGAGAATGAGTCTAGGTTAGAAATGCCAGCCACTGCTGACTCATGTCACCAAGCAGCAAGAATAATAGTAGAATATCTCTCAAATTCACATTTCACTAAGAAAAGATTTCTCTGTTCTCTGGGTAGGACAACTTCATCTCTGAGGCATAGGTAAAATCCCTTAACGTTGAAGCCTGTGTTAAAGACTTGGCTTATGTAGATAAAGCCATTGTCATGTTTCATGAGTGGCCAGTTGTAGGACATGTGTTGATCTGGTTATAAAATATGTTCTGCAAGAAGCAGCTTCATGTAAGGCATTCAACTTTTTGGACCTCATTCATGTAAGAATTCTTACCTATGACCAAGAATATGACTGACTACTTATGTCATTGTGAGTGGGAAATGGAGAAGTCAAATCTCTATCTTACCAATTCTTGTGTGCTGTCGAGTTGATTTCAACTCATAGCAACTCCAGGTAACAGAGTAGAACTGCCCCATAGGGTTTCCTAAGCTATAATCTTTACGGAAGCGGATTGCCAGGTCTTTCTTCTGCAGAGCTGTTTGATGGGTTCGAACCACCGAGTGTTTAACTGTTATTGCTGCCAAGGCTCCCTATTTTACCATGAAGTAGTCATTATTCTTCACCTTCTCACATTTTTTCTCCCTTTCAACATCATACCCATCTAAATAAAAGTTAACTCATGAAACACTTCTTTAACAGCAACAACAATAAAATGCTTAAGCCTGGAGGGTGTTAAAATGAGAAAGCAGCATTTCTTCCGACTTCCAACATAATCGCCATCTAAATAAAGTGTTTAATCCAGCAAACACTTCACAAAAAAATCCTTAAGCCTGGGGGGTAGGTATTAAAATGAGGAGTCATAGAGGAAGAAGGAAATATTCATGTTGCACCTTTCCTTTCTCTCTTGGGTTCGGCAATTCCATTCACTGAAAAGCTCTCTTTTCTCTTATGATCTTGTGGATAGGAAACGTTATTTGTGTTATATTTGGCAAAGTTCCATTATAACAGATTACTAGAATGCCCCACTGGATTTATTAAGTTGGGGTGTTGCTTCTAGAAGGACAGAGAGAAGGTGCCATGTGCTTTGTTTGCATTTCTTAAGGATCAGCCTATAAGAATAAAGTTGATGGAAAAAAAAAAATGTAACCTTGAAATCAAATCAAAGTGACTGAAGAGAAAAGCAATAAACTAATAAACAATAGTTCACTTAAAGCTTTTTTTTTCTTTCACAAAATTATTTTTCCATCACTGATTTCTTTTTTCCTTTTCTTCATCACCCCTCCAAAGGACTACAGGTGAAAATAAATTTAGATAGGATTCAAATTCTGTTTTCAGAATACATAGATGTTGTAAAGAAGGGGATACCAACTGATAATAATGCTAATATTAACAGTGTGCCTGAAGGAAAGGCCATGTGAAGAAAAATTACCTAGTCCCTCCCTGACCCTTAGATGTTCATAGTTTGATTTAAAAAGGAGGAAAGAAGAGAGGAGTAACCTTTGTTGAAACCCTACTCTGTGTCAGGCACTGTACTAATTGCTTTACAGACATTATGTTATTTAATATTTACAAAACTCTGGGAGATATTATTATTCCATTTAATGATGAAGACACTGATGCTCAAAGGTGCGGATGGTCATAGGTAATAGGGGGGAACTGGGTTTAAATCCAGGTCTATATGGCTCCAAAGACTGTGCTCTTCCATAACACCCAAGAGAACATGTATTGTCAATATACCAAGGCTTCTTATGCATATGAAGACTCCCCTAAAAAATGGAGGGATTTGGCCTTGAGGCAGGCAAACCAGCGAAGAGGTTACTACAGTAATTTAGGAGAGATAAATAGCCTTGACTAAACAGCTCTTTGTGCCCAAAGCAATTATAAAATATAGGAAAAGAACAATTGAAATATGTGTGTATGTGGTGTGTATGTGTGTGTAGACGTGTGCAGACACGACACACAATGGTGGGAGGATATGCTACTGAGGATGACTGGAGGTGACCAAAGAGGACCAGTAAAATCGCAAATCTTCTGAGATGAGTTTCAGCCTGAAGGGGAAAGCCAATCCACTAAAAAAAATGATAGGAAGGCAATAGGTGAAGGTCCTTTTAATCAAGGATTGTGATTAAAAAAATAAACCAAACTAGTGGTGGGAGGAGTCTACAGGTATTTTGTGAACAGAAGGAGGTGTGAAACACCCTGGGGTTCATCCATGAGGCCCTGATCAGACAGAAGTCCAAACACAAGCACATTAATTCTGAGAAAACTTCCCCAAGGGGAATGCTCAAGAGGCACTTGAGAGACAGTATTTGAAGAAATCATACATCTGGGGACCTCTGAGTAAACTCAGCTCAACCTCACAGGGCCTTTTTGTCCCAATGAGACACACTTAAGAGATAATGACACCTTGCATGTACGTACCTAGTGTTTGAAAGATAAAAGCAGTGCTTGGAAGGCCAGGTGTAAAGCCACCTCTTTCTCTCCTATTCAAGAAAGCATTTTAGAATTCTAGACAGTGTGAGGATGTTGTTATGGAGACAGCCTTGATTCTGCTCTAATTTATCTAAAAAAGTAAATTATTGGCAAATGTTGATATTTTACTATTAATACAGTGATGCGTACCCTGTGGCTCACCTCACTTTTATTTAGGATGCCCTTCGTAATGGATCACAACACTCCTCACAACTAAAGGCATCAGACTTGTGTTTCTAGATACTGCAGTTGAGACTATGCCAGAATGTGACATGTGCTGAGTACCTGACTGAGACTCCTAAAGGTTCAAGAGTATTCTGTGATGACAAAAACATGTTGCTGACTTGATATAAAAGCAGAGTATGATTCAGGTATATAAAGACCAAAGAGAAAAGACCTCTATAAAGAAAAATGGCAACTCCATACACAACAAATCTTCAGGAAACTTAGTTGTCTCTCTTCATCGTCCAGGCACGGGCAAGAGTCTCTAAGCAGACATCAAGCAGCAGCATCTGAGTATATCACTTAGATGAATATGTGGCAGTATCTGGTGAAGTCCGTGCAGTGTTTGGATAAGCATACATAAATTTTGACAACAACATATTAAAAAAAATCAAAACAAAACAACAAATCACAGGGCCAGGACTTGGGTGAGGCAAGAGAGGCATGCAAAGCGTAAGACTCAGGGAGACACTCATTCTCAGCTGACTCTACACCTGCACGATCCGGAGCCTCTTGAAATTTTGCACCCTAGGCACCTCTCTTTCTTCACCCTTGTCGTTTCATTTCTACCAAGTCATTTCATTTCTATCAATTCATCCCCCTCAGGATTGGAATAATTCCCTCATGTGTAACAAATAAGAGTGGGACAGAGATGATAGTGACAAGGGGATTATGACTGTTGACATTAAGGACAGAAAATGAATCAGATTTGATGACCAAGTGAATGTGGAGTTGAGTGTCAGAGTAAGCGAACAGTCAGGTTTCTTTGGAGATGGAAAGTATTCTATCTTAAGTGTTGTGCAACGATCTGAAGGTCATTGTTAGAAGACTGGTATTGAGTTGCCTGTTCTTGGTGGTGGTGCACAGACATAAAAACATGCCTGGTGGAAATTTTACTTTTTTTCTACAGTCCTTTGAGGTTCTGACTTTGCTCATGGGAATGACCCCTGTGGATGTGACAACCATGGAGACTATCCCAGCTAAGGTGATTCCGATATAGCTCTGGAGGATGGTATGAACTTAAAAATTAACTAATGAAAAAGGAAATAAACCAGTGGTCCTTACCACCTGTCTCTTTCTGTAATTCTTTTGCTCATAACAAAAATATTTTATCAAGTGACTAGACAGAACAGAAAATGGGCAATCTTAAGTACATGGCAGGTAAAAGATTTTTTTTTTTTTTCTTTCTGGCAAGTGATGGTTTCTAAAGTCTCCTGTTGAAGCTGGAGATAAAACGTCTATCTTCAGGAGGTGGCCTTCTCCCAAGAATTCTCTGTGCTCGTTAAAGGAAGCATTAGTAGAAAGAGAACAGAGTGAAAGGGTAGGTTTATTTTAAAAAGCAACAGGAAGACAGTGAAAGATGGGATTAAGTTGAGAAATAAAAGCAAGAAAATGACTGAAAAATGCCACTTTGTGGAGGTGGATGCCGACGCCTGATTTCCTGAATGTCCGTTTGTGAGTGGAGCTACCACGTTTTCATTTTCTGATGGGAAGCTTTTACGAAAGCCCGTGGTTCTGGTACGAGGTCCAATCTTCTCAACAGGCAGCTGGAGAACTGGCGCCTGCTGCCCTCCCTTTCTGCCCAGGAGACCTTTCTTATCATTAAGCTGAGCTGTGAAGAAGCTTTGCAAAAACCTGCAAAGTAAGAACGGAAAATTCTCCCTCTATGCCCACCAGGGTCCCCAGTGCTGGAGCTGCTGCTGGGAGAAGGTAGGAAGTGAATGCTGAGCATCTTTCTTAAACCAAGGCTTCAAACTAGCTCCTTCTGGTTCGAACCCTTGTTGAGAATTTGCATTTCTAATAGGTTCCCTGCTGAGAATTTGTATTTCCTCCCCAGATATGCTGACTCATAATCTGCAGTTTAACAAGATTGCCAGGTGATTCTTATGTATAACTTCCTGAGAACTTGTTAGAAACGCAAATTCTCAGCAGGGATTTGAACCAGAATGAACTATTTCAAAGCCCTCGTTTAAACTTCTTACATGAAACAACCCACTCCTGAGATCCTTTCCCCTCATGTGGCAAATGGGCCATTTGGGAACCTC